ATATATATATATATATATATATATATATATATATATATATATATATATATATATATATATTATTATTTAAAAAAATGATTCCATGGTTGTGAGTTGGAATCATATTTTTAAATAAATAATTAAATTTAAATAAATAATTATAGTTCAAATAAATAATTATATTTATGCTCTACTTTTGTATTGAGCACTATTTTTAAAAATAATAACTAAAATACTAAGGAACTTTGGATTATTTACCTAACCAGTTCTTTCCTATTTTCTATATATTTTCACATATATATATATATATATATATATATATATATATATATTAAGAAATGGACAAGGTCCGACAATTTATTTATTAAAGACATTTTTATTTTATAGATACAAGTATTTAAGCAAATGCTCTGTTTATGATAAACAGTATTAAATAACATTTACCGGCCTGAATGTCCGAGAAATTTTCATAGAAATATTCGTCCTTTCTATGAAAATTTCTTGGACATTCAGGCCAATAAATGTTATTTAATACTGTTTATCATAAACAAAGCATTTTGCTTAAATACTTGTATCTATAAAAAAAGAACGTTAAACATAAAATGTCTTTAATAAATATATATATATATATATATATATATATATATATATATATATATATATATATATATATATGTTAATTGTAATATTAGCCATTTCCTATAAGTAAACATTTGGCATTCATTGACCAAGTAGCAAGTTGCTTTTCATTTGAAATTTATAAAATTATTCTTTTAAAATTATTTTTTAGATAAACAGTTTTCTCAAGTCCAGTTGCTTCTATCGTTCTTTTCAGAATTGATGGCACTTTATTTCCTAACCTTTTACTTGTAGTAGTACGAATGTTAACATTTTCATTATGTCACTATTTGATGTGGTAGGATCCACCTAATTTGCATAGTGGAGTACCGACCATATAAATATGGTTGGTACCGGGAAGAGAGGGAGGAATCAAGAGATTCAACCAGAGACTCTGCCCGACTGCGACTCAGTCAACACATTCTCCAGGAATGGTCTTACCAGGAATATACAAAAGACTATATGTAAATATTGTGTACACTTTCTTGTTTCAATACATTTTGTTCTAAGTACATTTTGTGTTGCATTATTATTCCATGCATTAGTCAAGTTTCAACACTATTTTTTCTTCTAGTTGCATGTGGTATTCATTTTAGTTGTTGCTGCTATGTTATGTGGTTTCTGTTATTTGGTACAGTTCTTTCTACATTTGTAGTTCCAGTCCATAATGTTCAAAGAAGGATGATCTTTGTCATGATCCTCAGGCTTTACTCAAATACATACATATGTTATTGGTCTGGATGCGGTGATTCCAGCATGTGGCATCTGGAAGGTGCTTAAAAACCATACCACAGCCTTGTGAGTGAAAATTGGGTACCCTTGAGGGTTGTCGATAACTGTGCTAGCACAAAGTCACAAGTCATTGTGAGTGATCATTTGAGTGTTTTGGCTTTGTTCAGATTGTTGATTACGTTAGATAACACGCTCTCTCCCAGAAACTGTAACTAAGGTCCTCTCAGCGTAATTACATTATAAACCACATGTAGGCTCTCTAGGTGTTGAATGAACACAAATGTGCCTGATCGGGCATCTGCAATTGGGATTGGCTAACCTCCCTAGTAGTCTATCGTCGAATATGAGTGGCCAGCTATTATATATATATATATATATATATATATATATATATATGTATGTATATATATATATATATATATATATATACAGACAAAACATTGTGACATGACTGTGAATATTTCTGAGATTAAGTATTGTATTTATTTATTTACACTATTTACATTTTACAGACTGTTGTCCTCATTTTTGTTGCCATATTCACAATGTTTTGTCTGTTGTATGCTCCGGCCTTCTGTAGGTGATTGGAATTTCAAACTGAACCCTTATGTGTCAACACATGGCCCAGTGGATACAAGCATTTGTTGGATCCCATGCCTTGACTCAAAGAATTCTGATTTAAATACCTGATTACTGCAGTGGTGGACAAAAAACTTGGAGAGTTGAGCTAAAAGGAGATAACTCAGCCATCTGAAAGAGGTGTAGCATGTGGAACTAGAACAATCTACTCTGGTGGTCGAAATAAAGGGTTCAATTTGAAATTTCAATCACCTGAAGGAGGCTAGAGTGTACAATGGCTGGAACATTGTGAACATGGCAACAAAGTTGAGGACAACAGTTTGAACAATGTAAATAGCATAAATAATATGCACATATATGGACAAGTGCATAGTGTAATGGTTATATGCCAAGTTCAAATCCAGACTGAGGTTGTTAAATTCACTTTTGCACAAATACCCTTCTTCCTTTTTAAATAGTTCCAAAATCTGAACAGTTAGGTCCCCATACATTGAAAAATGAGAGGAGAGTCCATTTATGTCGATAAATACATGGGTTCATCAATAAGTCTGTAGCCCAATGCTGGAAAAATTTATGGAGCAAAAATTTATTTTTCAGCATAACCACTTTTTGTCAATACACTTAATTTAGTGCAAATATTAATTCCCTAAGACAAGCCTTATACAGTAAAATTTCAATTAAAAAAACACTTATAATCAGCATCAGAAAGAGGCAGTTGAAAATTCTAGAAGCATAATAAGAAAAGTGAGTTCAGAAAATTTAACACTCACAAGACATACTGAAGGGAAAAGGGATAGAAAAAAGAAGTAAATAAAATAGTTTATGTAAATGGGTGCCTGAACAGAAATATGGAGAGAGAGCACAAAGAGAAATTTTATTAGGAGTTACAAAGGACAGGAAATTTATTGAAAGCCATGATAACCTATGTCCTGAAGGGGCATGGCATATTGAAGAAGAATAATTCTATGTCAGGTTCCCAATTTATTGATCTATATGTAGTCAGCATTCAGTTAAACAGGTTTTATTAAATTCAACTGGAAAGTCAGTCCGTTTAATTTCTTCATTATATTTTTTAAATAAGTTATCGTACATACAAATCTAAATTGTGGCTAAGCTGTTTAAAATTCACAATTTGTTCTGTTTTTTCTTCTTGAATATTTTCAACTGCCTTAGTTTTTTCTTAAAAGACACAAGGGGGAGTGGTTACTGTGTGTTATGGAAAGAAAAAAATCCTTAAGGAGAGAGGACATTAAAAGAACAAGAATTAAAAAGACAATAGATAACAATTGACACTACATTTAAATTTTTGAAGATCAAAGTTGATTGGAAAGCAAGAAGCCAGAAGAGAGTTCCACAAGTGAGAAATGCAATCAAAGAAACTTAGGATTTATGGTTACATTTAGCTATTTTAACTGTAAAATGACGAGATCTTGCCACTAATCTAGTATTGCCCTTAAATTTGTAAAAGCTAAGTATCATAAAGGAAAGTTCTTGAGAATAATTACCATGAAAGTATTTATGGAAAAGGCACAGGAAAGATACATTACGGTGGCATGAACGTGACTGATATTGAGGTGCCAGTTCATAACTACTAAAAATAGAATGGCTACTCAAAAAAGTTACCTAAAAATAATGTTTGAAATAACAGAAATATATTGGATTAAAAAATAAAATCCATGAATTTTCTAGAAATATATGATGATGGGCTCTCCCGTCGTTTTTGATGTATGAGTGTCTTTCAGTTCAGTTTTTATGTTTTGTATGAGACAACAATCCTTAATGAGATTTGCAAACAAATCCACACAAAGGGCATACTGAAGGGTTGACCATTATATGGGGTGATGTATTAGCCTGAGATTTAGTGTTAATTCTCTCAGATGGTTGAGACAATGATTCTTAGTTATACCTCGGTAGCAGGTATTACTCCAGTTTGCTTGGTTTTCAACAGTAAGTTCAAATTCCTCTATAGGGATGTTTGCAGCAATTAAATTGTATTTAAGTTTATCCTTGAAGTGTAACCAAGGATGGCCTACATTATGCTTACCATGAAAAAGTTGGCTATACATGTGGATGTTTGGCATCCGATCATCACTCATTCTGATGACATGACCAGCCCAACTGAACTGTGATTGCATCAGAAAGGATTCAATACCACCAATGCTACTTTTGATGAAAAGATCAGGGTTAGAGATTTTGTCCTGCCGTGTATAACCACATATTGAATGAAGACAGCGTTTATGAAAAGCATCAAGTTGATTGATGTCTGTCCTGTATGGTATCCACAATCCTGACCCAGAAAGAAGTGTGGTGAGAATGACTGCTCGATAGAGACCGATTTTCGCTTTCTTCTGTGTGGATAGTCTGCAGTTCAGAAATATATATATATATATATATGTATTTTTAAAAATTATAAAATATAAAGCTTCAAATCACTGATTCTTTTTTAAATGATATTTAAATATTTATTTTGATTGATATTTCATTTTTAAATAAAATTTTAATTTTTGGCTGATCAACAAAAAATCAACCTTATTCAATTAAATTTAATGCATTTTTAAGTAAATTTGGCAAGACTTTCTTCTCATGATTTAACATTTTCTATTTAGGTAAATTCAAACTGAACTATACTGGTGTTGAAGATCATTCTAGAATTGGAGATAACCATATTAATGAATAAAGCATAAGAATTTGGTTTTAAAATCTTGCAAGTAGAGAGTTCAGTTTGAAAATAGTCAGGTGACAAGTTGTCACAAAATGATCAGTCAGTGATGAAGGTATGTAGACTATTTGACAAATGGTCCAGAAACCTCAAAGAATCTACAGTAAACACCAATGTATGGATTGGAATAATTTCTAATAAGTTAAGAACAAATGATAATAACTGAATAATTGAATAACAAATAAAGAAAAAAGAAGTGTGCATCAATCATTTTTAATAGAATGAACTTGATCTGTTTTTCATTATATTGTGTGATTACCCCCATTGTTTGCCAAAGAACTTCTGCTAGTGAACATTAGATGGCAGTGACAAAGCAGTATATAAAAAAACACAAAAGTCCTATCCACTCTTCTCTCTTGTCTACAGGCTTATAACCATATCATATTGAAACACTGGTTCTCTTATTATGATCACTGAAGTTAAGCAACACTGAGACTGGTCTGTACCTAGATGGGTGACCACTTGGGAATACCAGGTACTATAAGCTTGGATATGTGGGTGGTGTAATGTTTAATGGCTTGGAATTGGAACTCGGAATTGGCTCCCTGATTCCCAATTCCAATCAGGGTCGTTATATTCACTTATGCGCAAACACCCTTGAGAAAGGTATGAATCCACCTCTTCTTCCCCTCAGCTATGGATTAATTAATAGGACTTGTATCATTAAGTCATTATTATCCCCCAAAAAATCTTACAATCTAAAAATACTTTTTGGCTTTAAATATTCTGAAAAGGGTTGATAATGTGTCAAAAAAATGAACCAATCAATCAATCTCTTATCTGCATGATACCTGAGGGATAAGATGTGTCTTGTTTCTCCTCTGGGGATCCTTTTGCTTAACAAACTTCATGTTGCATTTATAACAACACAGAAGAGTACACAGCTTATAATTTACACAGGTTGCTTGACTACACACAGGTATAAATAATAATTTTACTAAACCATCAGAAAAAGGACTCTTTTCAAATTTAATTTATTTTTCTAATCTAAAAAAAAACTGGTTGGAAAAGGAATTTGTTAAACTAAGCCTGACACCAAGATAAAATATACATTGCATCCTTTTCTCTTCTTTTTTTGGCAATATTTTACAACATTGTCAGCAATTGTTTTTATATATAAAAAGAAGTTAGTGTCACATTATGCACAAGAACACATTATACATAAAAATTAAATATTTGATCTTTTTAGGAAAGTGGAGCAACATGTATATACATTATAAATGAAAATAAAATATATTCATGATTTTACATATAGAAAGAAGTTTGCTCTATGCATGGAATTCATAGTATGTAAAATAAATATCACCTTTTCATTTAATTCTAAAAATTAATTTCCACTACATTTCTAATTTTTAAAATTCAATGAATTCTGAAGGCACATTGGGATGGTGAAAAGTGTCTTCCAAAAGCTATGCAAAGTATTAAGAAACAGGAAAATTTCATTAGAAACAAAGAAAAGAGTACTGAACTGTTACGTAATGTCAGTCCTCCTATATGGTAGTGAATGCTAGTCAATCTCCTCACAGATGAAGAAGAGACTTGAAGCTGCAGGAATGTGTTCTACAGAATGATGCTGAGAATAACATGAACCAAATCTGTGAGCAATAAAAAAAGCACATTGGGGTGGTGAAAAGTGCCTTCCAAAAGCTAAGCAAAGTATTAAGAAACTTAAAATTTTCATTAGAAACAAAGAAAAGATTACTGAACTGTTACATAATATCCGTCCTCCTATTTGGCAGGGAATTCTGGACAATCACCTTACAGATGAAGAAGAGACTTGAAACAATAGAAATATGGTTCTACAGAATGATGCTGAGAATACCATGAACCAAATATGTGAGCAATAACAAAGTTTTAGAGAAAATGTGAGCAAAAACACCACTTATATTTAATATCAGAAAGAGATATTTCAAATTTCATAATGAGGAAAGGGTGCTTGGAAAATTTGATACTCACAAGAAGATTGAATGCAAGAGGGAAGAAGGAAAACAATGCACACTCTAACTAGCAAGCTTTAGTAAATAGATGGCAGAACAGGGTTTAGGAAAGATAAAAAAAGACAAAATTTATTAAGAGCTAGAAAGGCCAGGAAATCGTGGAGAGCCATGACTACCAACGTCCTGAAGGGACATGGCACATAGAAGAAGTAGTAATGATTTTCATATAATTTTATTAGAATAATGCAAAGCTTAGACAAAAATAAGAGCAACAGTTTCAAAAGAACCAATGAATGAAATTTATCTTTTTATTTCCTCAAAGATGAAGACGAGACTTGAAGAAATGTGGTTCTACAGAAAGATACTGAGGATACCATAGACCGAACATGCAAGCAACAACAAGGGTTTAGAGAAAATAGAAAAAAAAAAAAAAAAACTTATAATTAACCTCAGAAAAAGGCAGTTGAAATTTATGGGGCATGTAATGAGGAAGGAGGGCTTGGAAAAACTGATACACACATGACAAACTGAGGGAAGGAGGAACATTCAGAATGTAACATACTTGATGGGTTTGAGTAAATGGATAGTAGAACATTGTTTGAGAGAAATAGCAATAAGACAAAATTTATTAAGAGCTACAAAAGACAGGAAAATGTGGAGAACCATTATTGCCTACATCCTGAAGGGAAACAGCACATAAAGAAGAAAAAAATGGTAGTAAGCAACAAGATTGGGCTGAACATCAAAAACTGGTGAAAATGTAGACAGAGAGAAAAGATGCAGAATATTAAGGACATTGGCTAAAGATATGAAAAGAGCTAAACTATGACCATCAAATAATCATAACAAAGACAGATATAAGTACACAAAAGAGTATTTTTTTAGTGATGAATGTAGAGCTACATTAGATGAACCTAGTGGCTGGCCGAGAGACTGGTTCCTTCAGGAAAACAATCAACACAGAAGTCAGAATAATATTTTGGGCTGGTGGTGTCAGCAGTGAAATTATAGGCCACACCAATACTGATGATATATAGATAGATAAATGCAAAGAATTTTTAGCCAAGATCGTTTTTGAGTGATACACATCACAACCAAGAAGCTTTAAGTTAAAGAGAATATTCATGCAAGACAATGCTCTATCACATATTGCAAAATTCACTATCACATACCTGACTAAAAAAAGGTTTTACTGACATCAAATTAATGGAATAGCTCCTAGCTTCTCCAGATATTAATCCAATAGAAAATTTGTGGAAAATAATGGAAAATAACATTAAAGCAGAAAATATCTGAGAAACAAATCAAACTGCTGCAAATAATTTTAAAACTGAAACAATATAAAAGTTAACCAAATTAATAGAAAGAAAGACTAATGAAGGTTACAGAATGTCAAGGAGCCTATATTAACATACAAAATAATTTTAACAGTGAATGGAATATGTGACACTGAAATCTGATCATGCATTAGACTAGGGAAAGATGCCTTTCAAAAGCTAAGCAAAGTGCTAAGAAACGAAAAACTTTTATTAGAAGCAAAGAAAAATGTTGCTGGATATGGTATTCATCAGTGATTATGGTAGTGAATGCCGGATAGTCTCTCCACAGAAGAGAAAACAGGTGGCAAGAAAAATGTGGTTTTACAGAAGATAATTGAGAATTCCATGGATGGATGCAAGGAATATGTAAGTCTTAAAGAAAATGGGAACAAAAAGAACATTTATACTCAGAATCAAGAAAAGATGGCTCATATTTCTTGGACATGTAATAAGAAAGGAGGGCTTGGAAAATCTGACCCCCAGAAGGCATATTGAGAAGGGTAGGCAGTGAGCTAACTACCTGTTGAGTTTGTATAAATGGATGGTAAAATGGGGTGGAGGCAGGTGTCTTAGCAATAGGAGGAAAGCTGCTAAGAGCCACAAGCAATAAGATGTTTTAGAGAGTCATGATTGCCAATGTCCTGAAGGGATGTGGCACATAGAAACAGAAGAATATATGGCATATTGTATTAATCAAATGTATCCTTCTATGGTCTCCTATATCTTTAGATTTATTTATAAACAAAAACTTGTATTGTACTAGCATAATAAAACATGACACACCCCAAACAATATATTAGGTTGGTGCAAAAATAATTTCGTTTTCTTACATAGTAACATATGTTAGAAAACGAAATTATTTTTGCACCAACCTAATATTATTAGATGAAACGCATGCAATATATTTCTCATATATCATTAGAAACAAAGAATAGAGTACTGAACTGTTATCAGTCTTCCTATATGTTAGTGAATGCTGCTAAATCTCACAGAAGAAGATGGTGGAACAGCATTTAGGAGAGATGACAAATAGACAAAATTTATTAAGAGCTACAAAGGACAGGAAATTGTGGAGAGCCATAATTGTCAACATCCTGAAAGGACACAGCATATAGAAGAAAAACATAAATTGATTACTGTGGATTTTATTGTGATGACACTGACTTGCATCATAAAATCTCCAACGTACAATTTAATGTAATAGGTGTATAACAAGCAATAAATGAAAAGTTTATAGCAGAATATCTTTGGTGAGGAATTACCTTTATTGTATTTTTTATTATTCAGACCAGCATTCTCAACTTGATTGTTATGGTAACAATGTTTTAGCCATTGTACTCTCAGGCCTTCTTAACATGTCTGTTATCATATTTGGTAAACTTCTTGGAATTTTATGCCATATATAATATAATAGACATGAAACAGACAATAACATAATAGTTATACAATAAACTACAATATGAGACATATCTATCTATCTGTCTATTTATGTTCATGTTTCTTTGTTCTTCTTTAACTCTATATGTCTCAGTTTCTTAATATCTATCTTGCTAGTTAGATAGTTAGCTAGATAGATATGAACAGACTGAGATATACAGCATTAGAGAAAAACAAATAAAAATGAAACAAAGAAACATGCTAGTTAGCTAGCTAGCTAGCCATACATTTATCTATCTATCTATCTATCTATCTATCTATCTATCTATCTATCTATCTCAGTTCATATCTCTCTTTCTCTCTCTCTTTAGCTACCTATCTCAGTCCATTCACCTCTATCTAGCTGTCTACCTCTTCATTTTCATATCAATGTAGTTAACAAGCTAGTTGCCTTAGTCGATTCATAACTATATATTGGTCTAGCTATCTCATACATTTGCATATATATACACATATATTTGTAAATTTTCTTGCATTTCTCAGTTTTATTTATTATATAAATTTGAATTTGTATACATTGTAAATTTATCACACACACATACACATTTGCATTTTGCTTTCTTTTACTTTTTATTCTTGGCTTCCCATTTAATATTCTTTTCTGAATTAATCACCTCACCATTCATGGCTACCTGTTGGCAAAAAGTCACTGAAATTTTTTCATTTCTTAATAAATGGTATCTTAATTCTTTTACTGTTAATACTTAATGCTCTGCCGTCCTTATTCCAGCTGAAAAAGAAGAGTTATTTCCCTTGCTTTCTATGTTGCATCCATATTTGATTAAAA